TTTTGTATTTTTTTAAAGTATTAATTAAATAATAATACTAATATGATTAATAATTTTTTTAATTATTTAATTAATCTTTAAATAGAAAGAATACAAAATCCTGTAAAATTATGCAAAAGGAAGAAACTCATAGAGACATACCATATCATCCCAAACCAACCATTTTCTTAACCATAATCGCAGAGATCTCAATGATTCAAGAACATTGACAGAAAAAGGGATGAAATGAAATCAAACCAAGAAAAGGTAATCATAGACTCTGATAGCTAAGGCTCATATGTGCAGGTAAAATAGAATAAAGTCAGTGGTTTCAAAAAGCTCATAACGTAACTTGTGTCACGAACTAACAACAAGCCCCTCCTAAGCAACATTGGTGTTGGTGACCCAAAGCACAGCCTGTGTGCTTAAAGGAGAGAGTTTAGATCGACGAAAGTGCTCCCAAGAGTCCAACTCTGGATGCTTGTGTACTGTTGCTGACAAGACACAATAGGATTTCTTGTATGCAGTTTGACACTCCAGAAGAAGGGTTTGAGCAGCCTCCCTGGACTCAGGATGCTGATCACTGTGTTGGGATGCAGCTACTTGGATCAATCAGTCAATTCCATATGTTTTAATTCCCTCAACACCCTGTAAAAATGAAATTAACATGAATTCAGCTACAGTAGGAAGCAAGTTAGGGCTTACAAACCAATAATGCCAGGAAAAACCTAACGTGATTACATCTAAAAATAGTATATTGCTCAAGCCATATACAAAAATCCATGTCCCAGTTGTAGTTACTTCTTTGTTGAATTCAATTATTAGTTGAATAAGCAACATTAATATTCTTATTGAAACTCCAGGAAACAAGATTATGATCTGATCTGCATCAACAACAATCAGGAAATGGACCATCCAACAGGAATGTCTAATGTGGAAAAGAAACTAAGGAAGACAGTAATATTGTTATAGACATTGACCAATAGAAACTCTTCCAGTGCTCCATATGATTAGTAAACAAATGAAGTAGCAGTGAGCAAATCAATCATACTTTTCTTACCAGTTGTGGAACATTTCGAGAAAAGCACATTGACGCCATAGCTCAAATTCGTGGATTTCTGTTTTCGAGATAAGGTTACAACTTTGGCAACAAAACAATAGGGGAAACCCAAGTGGTCATTGCTTCTAAAGCTTTCTCAGCTGCCTCACAAACAAGCCTTTTGTCTTGTGAAGATTTAAGTAAAAGCTGTACAAGCTGCATTTGATGATATTTGGGCACACATTCACAATATTAGTTGTTCACTCACTATTCACCAGTGAGGAGATAATCATTCAACAAAAATAAAGGCAGCAATGACTTTAGAGATTATGAAGTACCAGTGGATCCAACAAATCAACTACATGGTCATTAAATGCAGTGACAACGTCTGCAGATGTCATAATTAGTGAAAAGGAATTTAACCATATTAGCGTACAGTTTACTTCCAAATATTAGTGAAAAGGAAAAAGGGAAAGCAAGGAGTTATACCCTGAGACTTGTATTAATGTCTTCAAGATCACTCAAGTTCTCAGATTCAATGTATTCTACTTATGAGTTTGCTATCTCTACTCCAGAATTTACAGTTTCACCTCCACTAACATGAATGGGAGAAGACTTCTTCCTCTGCTCCTCTTCAACATTTTCATTCATGTTCCCATTGCACAGTTTTGTAAAACACCCTCTACTGGAGTCATCATTCTTGCTTTCAGATGCAGGTAGGCTATTGAGATCTTTAAGAGCATTGATCGACATCACTGTTAGGACTAGCTCTGAAACACAAAAAGGGAAAAAGAAAAATCATAACATATTCTGCTCGAGTACAATTTGTCCATATCCTTATTGATAGAAATGGAACTTGGACAACCACATTAATGCAACAAAACAAACTCAGTACAAAATTAGAAGTTCAAACCAACAAGATTCATACCATTGATTGCAAGCTTAAAATAGATTAGACAGCATCATAAAATACCCAACAAAAAAAGGACAGAGGTAGAAGGCCTTAATTAAGGAACATGCAGCAGTTTCTTGTAGATTTCTCTTACTAACCACAATTTTATATCATTCCCACTTAAATTCATGGATCATGGACAGTGGTTCAAACTTATAAGCCAGGACTTCTTATAGTACTATTTCCCCTCTGCCAAAATCAACCAAGTCCCAACCCTTAATAACCCCCTCCCACATTACTTTCACGACTTTTTTCAACATATTTCACAACTATTGCTGAGCTCCCCACCTCCAGCTCCTCAACTCACCAGACCCAGAACCTCAAATGACTACCGTTTCTACAAACTATAAAAACCCAAACTAACTCTCTGAAATGCAAATGTTCCCCCAAAGTCAGCTTGAAACCTTGTACATCAATCAGCATTTTCGTGATTTAGGGCACAGATCAAATTAGCATAGTTCAAAGACACGAACAATCCAAAAAAACAACAAAATGTTAATCTATTGTCTAATAGAAAACCCTAAACAAGCTTAATAAAGAACAGACACCTAACAGAGATTAAAAAAAAAAAACAAAAAGGAAGAAGAAGAAGAAGAAAGATCTCACCACACAAAACATTGACTGAAAAGCAAAAAATGAAGTTCAAATCACAAAGAGGACCATGGAAGAAGAGGAAACTGGCAAAGCAGCAATCAGAGAAACAGTCAGTGTGGTGTAGACTCCAGTGAAAATTGAGACTTTGAATTTAATGTTTTTTTTTTTTTAATTATTATTAGTATTAATATTTTCCTGTTTGAGAAAGGGGCTGAATATCTGCTGAACATGAATTACCAGTAAGTAATGAAAATATCACAATTAATGTCAAGTTTTATAATATGATTTTATCTTCAATGGAGATCTCTATCAAAAAGGACAGAAAGCTCATAAAAGCACAAATACAATAGGATAATGGAAAGAAAGTTACCTTCTAAGTTCTTCTTCAGCTCCATAAACCCACACAATTTTAATCATAGAAAGTGTTTCTTGTCCAGTCTAAATTTATGGGAAAAAAGTTAATAAAATTGAGATTTTATACAGTCAGTATACCGATCAATGTGAACCAGTTTTAAGCTTTTACATTGTTAGCAGAGGCATTGAACTCTTGGGTTAACTTTGCAGCTTTCTTCTGGTACCTGTCAAAAACTACTGATCTCTATAAAACTCTCTATTAAATAAGTTTAGTATGTTCATAATTTAATCTATCCATGATCTTATTATTAAGTAAATTGGCATTTTATACAGGCAGCATAGAGACCCATTTGAACCAGTTTTATTATTTTATATTGTTTACAAAACCACCATCCATGACATAACTTCTCCACCTTCCAAGAACAAGTGTTTTCTTGCCGTAAAATAATTTAGTATATCTATTATTTAATATATCATTTTTACATCTTAGAGTTGGATGGACTACTATCAGCACATGTGGTTAATTCATAACAACCTCATTCCCATTCTAAAAATCAGAATGTAAGATCATAGGTTCAAAACCTATTGCAGAAGCCACCATGATTCGTATAGTAAACTTTTGAATATTGAAATTATAGAAACAGACAAACAGGACATGATCAGAAGCACTTGAATAGGAAATTATCAGATCATTCTCAAAATGACATTTATAAATATAAGTAATATTGTCCTCAATTCAATTAACAAATAAAGACCAGTCAAATAATTGTATTGAGAGGAAAAAATGAATCCATACTCACTGGCCATGAACAGAAACAATTGTAGACAGAGCAAAACATATCACTAATGTTGGTGAAGTGAGGGGCCAGGATAATTTAAGCAAATTTATCAACGACCAGTTCCCTGACACGAAAATATTTTAAATAGAATATGTAAACAGACACTATCACAAAATAATCATAAGGAAGGTGATTTCTCAATATGGGAGTAAAACCTGAACAATATTTCGTAAGATAAGATGAACATCATTCCCAATAACTTTAGAGAGATGTTGGCAATCTGCTCCAAGCCTACTTGTCAAATCACCAACTGTTTCCGTGTCAAAAAAGGACTTGTCCTACATCAAAAGCAAGCCCGCCACGGAGTATTTCTATTAAACGAACCCAAAAGATAAACATGCTTGAATTAGAAAGAAAGACACATAAATATTTGAGAAAAGTGAAAATCAGTAAGTCAGGTACATTATGGAGAAACACACACCTGATTTTCTCCATAATGATTTTCCTGATTTTTCATTAAAGCATTCCTTTTAAACTAAATGGAACCTCAGGTACCATGATAGTAAGTATATCACTCACCTGAAGGACGAGAGCCAAGTATAATGTTTCCCTAAAACGCTTAACCTGAAAAAAGATGATGATGTTACTTATGACTCCAAAGAACATAACAGTTGGTAGAATAATCAATCTATTTGACATGAAGATTAGGGTTATATTCAAGCTGATTTTAGCCAAAACCAGGTGAAACCAAGGTGCTAAGAGGGAATCAAATAATAATGCAAAATCTCACCAAGACAGTATTGGCAATAGCAAAACAGCAACTTCGCAGGCCACTGAAAATAAAGACACATTAAACCAAACACAATGCAATTAGGCACTTTGATTAAAGACTGCAAACTGCCAATTTTTAGTATCTTGAAACAAAATTACCTGCAGATTCCCGATGTGATGCACAACATAATCAGCAAACAAGCGTTCCGGTGAAACTCTGCTGCCGCACGACTCTCGGCAGGGAATATAGACGCTGCCAATATACTTGGCATAGAGATGAAATTTTTTTGTAAAATTTTTAAAAAAAATTATTTTCATTTCCACCTATAAAGAAAAATATTTTTTGAATTTCTATATCCACAATGAAAATTCTTGCAAAATTCTGTAGGTTTTGAAGTAAATTATCATCTCCGAATATTATAGATACAGTGTCCATCAAAAAAGATAGCCGAACTACTAGAATTTTCCCACGCATAGGATTCGTTTTTCGTGGTGTTGACCCAGGAATACAAGTCTACTTAATTAACGCTAAAGTAGAGTGAAATCCACGGCAAAGGCCTGTGCCACATGACTCCGTGTGGAATTGACTAGGTGAGGAGTCTTCAAGTCCCACCAAACCTGGAAAATTCCCATCTTCAATAGCAATTGCAAGGTTTCATCAGTAACCACTTCTTCTTCAATCTCATTTGCTCAAACTTATCTGCAAAAAAATGGCAGAAGCAATTGTCTCCACTCTCTTAGAGCAGATAACAACAATCACCTGTGAAGGAGCACTAGAGGAAATGAGACTTCTGAAGGGGGTTAAAAAAGATCTGAGAAAACTCAAATTCAATCTCACATCCATCAAAGCTTTACTTAAAGATGCTGAGCAAAAGCAAATATCAGACGAAACTGTCCAGTTATGGTTAGATCGGCTGCAAGAAGAGTCTCTTGACATGGAGGATGCTCTAGATGAGTGGAGAACCGTACTTCTGTATCGGCCAACTGATGGGGCTGAAAATGCTTCTTTTCTTCAGAGGAAGGTATGCCTTTTCCTCCGATACTTTTCTTTTCGTCGGATTTATAGGTACCATGGCATTGCTCGCAACATAAAAGAAATTAATGAGAGGTTAGATGGGATTGCTAAAGATAGAGTAAGGTATCAGTTAACAGATATGCCCAGTAGACTGCCAAAACGAAAAGAAAGCACGAGTTTTATTGATGGGTCAAACATCATTGGTAGGGATGAGGTAAAGAAAGAAATAATTGGTCATTTGCTGTGTGGGACTAGCGAAGAAGGAGAGAGCTGTCAAACCATCTCTATAGTAGGGTTGGGAGGTATTGGTAAGACTGCTCTTGCCCAACTGATCTACAATGATGAAGAAGTTAAACAGCATTTCACTACCAGAATCTGGACATATGTTTCAAACATTTTTTATGAGAGTGAAGTGGCAAAAACGATCATTGCAGAACTTGAAGGCCTAGATGAAGTAAGAGCCCTCCAAATGGAGTCAGTTCCACTTAATGCTCTTTTGAAAAGAATTTGCAAGTCCATAGAAGGAAAGAAATACCTTCTTGTCCTAGATGATGTATGGACAGAAAATGATGAAGACTTTGGAGGACTAAATGTCACTTTCAAACATGGTGCTGCAGGAAGTAGAATTTTGGTGACTACTCGTAAGGATACTGTTTCAAGAGTTATGGGGAGTTCTCACACCATCCATTTAGAAACTTTGAACCAAGACTTATGCTGGTCCATTCTTAAGAAAATAGCACTGAGAGAAAGGGACCAAAAGACTTGTGAAGATTTAACGCCAGTTGGTTTGAGAATTGCGGAAAAATGCAAGGGTCTGCCACTTGTTGCAAAGACTCTAGGAGGTCATTTACAATTTAAAGCTAATAGAAAAGAATGGGAGGATGTCTTTAATAGTGAGTTATGGAGGATGGATGTGATACATAAAGATGTTTTTGTTCCTCTATTGTTGAGTTATTATGATCTACCATCACCAGTAAAACAGTGCTTTAAGTATTGTGCTTCCTTGAGTAAAGACACTGGTAATTTTACTTGTAGTTTGATTGCAAGATGGAAGGCACAAGGTTACTTAGGCTTTAATGATGGTGATGATTCATTATGGGAACTGAAAGGCTTTGAGTACTTAAAGTGCTTAGAGGCTCGCTCTTTCTTCGAAATTGAAGATTTTGATCCTTTCTATGGTCAATATGCGAAGTGTAGGATGCATGATTTGGTACATGACTTTGCTCTTTTTTTGACAAAGGGTGAATTTCTGGAAGAGGTGATCTCCAAAGGTGATAAAAGCATGAATATGAACTCAGAAAGAACTGGTCGGCATTTGGTAGTAAAACTTGAAAGCGGCCTTAGTTTTCCTGAATCCATTTCTAATGTAGAAAAATTGCGAGGTCTCTACATTTCTGCTTATAAGGGTGGTGTTATCAGTGATGGGGCCTTATGTAATTTGTTTAATAAAGCCCGTCGCTTAAGGGAATTGAAAATGAGGAAATACCTTGGTTCAACTATTCCAGAAGAAATAGGGAAGTTGTTGCATTTAAGATACCTTAACTTTCAATCTAATCTTCATCTGAAAAGGCTACCTAAAGCACTTTGTAGATTACACAACTTGCAATTTTTACACCTGTTCCAGTGTCTTAATCTAGAAAGATTGCCGGATGAGATGGGAAATCTAGTCAACTTGATGGTTCTTGATACTACAGCATGCTCCAATTTAACTTGCTACCCGAAGGGAGTTAGCAGATTAACTCGTCTTACACAATTAGTAGGGCTCATTGTGAGAGTTGATCGTAATGATCCTGAAGAGTTCAGCATTGGAGATCTAGCAAACTTGAGACAACTTGTTGTGCTTTCTATGAAAATAATGGGAAATACAATCAATGTGGAGGAGTCAAAAAAGGTGAAGCTGCAAAATTTGCAGGAGGTGAAAATTCTGGTGAATGGGGCTATAGCGGCAGATAAAGACACCATACTTGAATCCTTAAACATGTCCTCTGTCCCAAGGTGCTGCTTTGATACAAACTTCAATATGTTTGGTCGATTTAGTACCCCAAGAAATGAATAGTATGTACCCTCTTTAATTAATTAACTCCATTTTTGTCAAATATTATAAATATTTAAATTACTTCTTCATATGTATACTAATGATAAGCGTTTGTTTTATTGTAGCCAATACTGCGGCTTTTGAACAACTAGACCACACAGCAATGGGATGCGTCTTTCTAACGTGTTACTTTGGTGGTGATCCAGGATGAGAAGGTTGTTGGTGATGATCAGATGATGTGTGTGAACTGTGAAAGGAGAAAGATGTAGGTGCTCCCTTTTCCCTCTTTGATACTTCCATCTTGGGGGACATTGTGTGGTTTTTTCGTTAATTATCTTGATAATTGTGTGCAGGTACTGCTTTTTCTTCTTCTTCTTCTTCTTCTTCTTCTTGTTTTTTTAATTTAACTTTGGCCATCTAGGGTTGGTATTCGGTGTGCTGTAATGTCTTATGGATTTAGATTTTCTTATCTCTTGATATATTATAAAAACATATAAAATATTAACTAAAAGGAATGGTAGAGAATTAAGATGTTGTATAACAATTAAAATATTAAAATTTTTTAGGAGATTATTTAGTGTAAATACTTTTTTATTAA